GCTGCTGCTGCATGCTGGGACCAGGCGCGATGTTGAGCAGCGTGCTGTGTAGCTGAAGGTGCGCCACTGACAGAATGATACAGCAGCACGCGGACGGCGCTCCGAGGTGGAAACGGATATGGGGCATCCCGACTCATGAAAATGCTTTTCTGCACGTCGTTCTGTGCCTTGGCGACAGAGCACTTGGAACTCAAGCAGCACGCACGACTGCTGACTACTGATTCAATCAAGTACTGTATGATGCCGACTGACCTTGGGCTGACTTGGCCCGCCTCTTGGGAAAAGCTCGACAACAAAGAGAGCCGAAGCGCATGACGAGATGGCATGCAGGATGTGCGCGTAACTTGCTCATGAACGGAGTGATTACCGTAAGCCCGTCCGTGGTTCATCGCGCTTCGTGATGAACTAGCTCTAAAGGAGACGGCTGATGATGAAGCAGCTGACAGGAAGCTAGATCGGGGAGCTGATGACGGGAGCATGATAGCGTATGATGGAGGCTGTCCCTTGCAGCCACCTCTGTCGCACTCGATTTCTGCAGTCACTGCCACTACCACTCGTACACCACTTCGTATGGTGTGCCAGATTTCGCATTGCCGTCGTTGCCTCGGAACCGGCGCAGAAGCAATGCAGATTGGCCGAGCTCTTCTCAGACTTGCAGCATACGGGGCATTCATGCAAATAGCAGAGCTGGGAGGCTGGGATGTTCCCAGCATCCACCGGCAGCATGACAAGAAAGCAGCAGATGACTCGCTGAAAAGTCTCCGAAAGCAACCAAAGTGAATCTGAGCAAGCGACCGGTAAGGACGGACCGGTTGGGCCCAATTCGCGATCTGCATGCAACCAAGCAAGCAGCCAACAGCCGCGCACGAGCGCTAGATCGTGACTCGCGTGGAGCGTCGTGAGCGTGACGCAGACTGATGCACGGCATCAGGTTGTGCCGCGCATCCTCTCGTGCTGCTGCTCTCATGCATCTACTGTAGGTATAAGCCTCTGATGTCTGCTAGCGGCCTCCGG